TACTAAGTACGGATACGGATCTTATCCTTACTAAGTTAAAAATAGATGAACAACATGGTCAGTCACATGACATTACAGACAGGAGGTTTATCAGACAGCAACTAGGCAAAAAGGGAAATTTACGTGAGAGAAAATAAAGCCAACTTGAGTGTCTGAAATATACTCTGAAAGTTTGAAATATATCTCGAATGTTTGAAATATATCTCAAAAGTCTGAAATATATCTCAAAAGTTTGAAATCAGACTAAAAGTCCAAAGTCATCATGGCCAAAGGGACAATTTTGACCCTGCTTTAACATTATGTAAATATCAAATGATTTATGAAACCAAATTGGAGATTTATTTGACATAATATTGAATGAAAACACAAATACAAATGCAGTTCAGTGCTAATAAGTAATAACAGCATAAATACCGTTATCTCTACACTGATACACACGTGAATCCTCCTGTATGAAACTAGCCATGGTGACACACTATGGTCCGTTTCATGTTTCGTGTAACAGTCTCGTACGTTTACGCATTTGTACGTTTAAATGCGGTCTTCCATACATGCCTTAAGCACTAGGGACATATATATTTATACAGTAAACTTCCTACTCGAAAGAGTAACACATTGTGTTTGAATATATAGAATTAAATGTTTTCTGGATATGTATACATGTAGATCTACGTTTTCTGTGCATCAAACACAGAAGTCATGTTATGAGTTTGATGTCGCTAGAAGTGCTTCTCATATCCTTACTTTTAAAGAATTGTCTCCTTTATTGATACTGAACATGTTCTGAGAGGCATCAGCCGCACACTGGAACGTCTGTTTCTCCCCGACCTCGTCCTCGTTATCAGGGTCGAACACCTCCACAAAACCAACAACGCTGTCTACAGGTGCAGCCATGGATACCTACGGGAGCAAACGTTTTGATTGTTAAGAAATCAGATTAATCGTAATCAGGTTTTACGCCGTTCTAAGCAACATCCCAGCAAATACTAGGCGGGAGACACCAGAAAGGGGCTTCCTGCACTGAACCCATATGGAACTTGAACCCAGGCATTTTGTGTGACAAGTTAACGCTTTAACAGCTAGGTTACCACCGCCTCAAATCATTCTATTAGATTTGTTTGTTTTGTTTGTTTGTTTGTTGTTTAACGCCGCACTCAGCAATATTCCAGCTATATAACGGCGGTCTGTAAATAATCGAGTCTGGACCAGACAATCCAGTGATTAATATCATGAGCATCGATCCACGCAGTTGGGATCGATGACATGCATCAACCAAGTCAGCGAGCCTGATCACCCGATCCCCTTAGTCGCCTTTTACGACAAGCATAGTCACCTTTTACGGCAAGTATGGGTTGCTGAAGACCTATTCTACCCCGGCGTCTTCACGGGCCTCTAATAGATTAGTAAGAATCCGACGACATGTAATGTTACTAAATGAACAAGGTCAATATTGTTATAAGGTAAAAACGCATCCCCAAAACCTTAGAAAATTATACAAAAGGCAGCATTTAACTTGATGGTTATAGCTTTAAATACGATGGAGAAAGAAAGTCGGAGTGGCGGCGCAAACAAGCAGGAAATCAGTAGGGCGATGACAGTGATATTTCGGGATAGCCTTGTTGGTGTTGCCGCCAATTAACCAAAAGACATCTTTTAATCGGTCAGTAGGTTCAGGTAATTTTCCAATCACGACACAAACACGAGCTCATGGTCTGATATTGTTTTTAACCAATTAAAATGATTAATGAGGACATGTGACAACGACAGGCTAAGCCCGAACACTATAACAAGATACATTAGGACAGGAGAGGAGAGGAGAGCGCGGTTTGCAGTCGATCGAGTCGAATCCCGATCGTTCTAAGTTCTCCCCATTTAGTGACGAGCATGGCCGCTCAGACCCTGTCGTGTATTGATAGATGGACTGAGAGTAAGTATAAAACTGATGTGATTAGAAAGCTGGTGTTGCGTTTATTCATTATGCGAGTATACATGCTGATGGAGACAATTCGGAGTAAGCGTCGTTAGACCAATAACCCCTTGACTGAGCTGAGACGATGCTGACAGGGCGAGCTGCACAGTCATGGCTTAACTGACCATGACGTCAAGGAACAACAATAGTTTCAGTAACTGTAGTACAGTCCCACTTGCCACCCGAAAGCTGTTACGACAATATGAAGAGGAACAGTTTATTTTATCCCGCCATTTAACAGATCATGAATAATACGAAAGAATTTTTTAATTAAGATTACCACAGTTAAAACTTCGTCAAGAGCACATAAATTGCGATAACTTAGCTCATGAATTTGACAGGTTCTCAAGTCAAAACCAGTTCATCAAAATTTAATATTATGTCAATGTTACAAACAGACATCCTTTGAACTCGTACCTCAGCGTGTGAGAGAGATATGTTGGTGGGCTTCTCGTTGACGTCCGACACAGTGAAGGTGAAGGTCTTGGTGAAGGACATCGGAGGGTTGCCAGAGTCAACGCTCTTGACCTTCACCTTATACTCAGACTTCTTCTCAAAGTTGAAAGCCGTGGACGCGACCAGTTCCTGTTCCGCTGACACCTTAAATATCTCCCAGTAATCAAGTACCTGAAAGGCATTATTTGTGATTGTCTTTATTTATTTTCCACATGTGTAATCTAAGATCCAGCTGAAAAGATAGTGATGCAAACCATTCCTAAGTTTTCTATTTTCGCTTCTTTACCTGGTATATGTGTGCATCCTTCCTATCTTCATCCGCCGATTGCAAACTTCCGATACGAAAGTTGGGCATATTTTCTGGGATTGACACGATGTTGCCATCTATGAAGATGTCCTGAAAGAAACAGTATTTAACATATAATTACATGGATAAACCTTTGTAAAAAGTTACATTCGTCGTGGAAATCATGGCCTCCACAATTAGTTTCAACGCATATATTACGGTGACCCAGGAGGCGTTGTCATTAGATTTTACATAAAACATAGCACATGTTCTCTTACCTACCATTTTTTATATGTACATCTACCTACACATTTAGAAAAACATTTCATAATAACTCGTTCATGATGGGAATAATATTGTTCTCTCACGACACGATATGGCTGAAATATTGCCGATTTGACTTTAAATTTTAACTCACTCATTCTTCAGTACACGCGCTGAAGACTTGGCTGATTATAAATGATACCTAATACTGAAAATTTAATAACTGATCGATCTATTGCAAACTCAACTTTAGTGAGTTGGGTTTAAAGCCGCTTTTAACATTATTCCAGTTATATCACGGCGTGTCAGATTAATGTGGGAGGAAAGCCCGAAGTGATGCAGGTCTCAGACGTTTACCACTTCGGTGAACCCACGAGCATGGGTATGGTGCTGACAAACCTAGAAACATAATTGGGGTGAACCGGAATTCGAACCCACAATCATAGGTTTCTGGCGTTTCAGAATACCCCACTCAGACACAGTATACTGACTCCGAGCCGACCAGTCCTTGTTTTAAACCCTTAATGCCGAGCGCCAGACAGGGTAACAACAAGTATCTTTTAACGTCTTTTGGTATGACGCGGTCGGGGATCGAACCCCGGACCTTCCGCTCTCCGGGCGGACGCTCTACCACAAGACCACGGGGCGGTCCCCAACTATAGGTCCTTATGCAACATTATAGATAAATTATATATGAACTATATAACATGGTTTAATTCGGAGAAATCACTCGAAACTTCTGATTCCGGAAGTAGATTATCATGATGTCTCCATTACAGAATAGCAGACGACGAAGCAACAAACTCTGTTCAGCGGGATAAAAGTCAAAATATCAAAAGATGGCTACAGCACACAGTACAAGTTTACACATAGAGACGGTCAGTCTGTGTTTTCCTCATTAACCTGGTACGCCCTGGTAAACCGTTGAGTCGTTCAACCCAACTGACTAATCAAATTGTAACATTGAACAGGAATATGAAAGTAGTGTACATTAAACACACAGAATACATGATGTTGGCCGATAATTGTTATGAGCCATGTCGCCTTTCATTTATTTACAAATTTCAAACACTGGAACATATGCATCCTCAACATAAACCTCGTGAAGCACAACACGTACCGTGGGAGGGTCGTTGGTATCTACCACGGGAATGTCCCATCTGTCTGTGATGGTGAGTCCTCCCTTGTCTGTAGCTGTAGCGTCAACAGGGATAGTGTCGCCGTCGTTGGTGATCTGCTCGAAGTCTATGGTGTCAGCAAGCAGAAGGTTGATGGAGCATATGGTCATGTTGATGCCATCTTTAAACTTCTGTGTGAAGAGAAAGTGTGTAATGCATGAAGCTAACGTCGCTCGAACGCTCGAACGCATCTTCTTTCGGGCGAGGCGAGGCGAGGCGAGGTGAGGTGAGGTGAGGTGAGGTGAGGTGAGGTGAGGTGAGGTGAGGTGAGGTGAAAGATTAATGCAGTTACATAGCAACGTGCATGCGTGCGTGCTTGTGTGTGTGTGTGTGTGTGTGTGTGTGTGTGTGTGTGTGTGTGGCTGCTTGTACTAGTCCGGACACATGCTGGTTTTATAGTGCTAGCCCACTGCCATACCATCCCGAAGTCTAACATGGTTATTTCATTCTCCGAGGTGGTCAGCCCTTGTTTTATCACCATAAAGCCGAGCGGAAGGCAGTGAAAAACAAGTACCATCTTTTTACGTCTTTTGGTTTGACGCGGCCGGGTATCGATCTATCTACCTCCCGCTGCCTGGGCAGACGCTCTATCCCCTAAACAACGGAGGCGGTGAATGTTAGAAGTTGGTCCTTTATGATATTACACACAAAGACAAAAGTGACTGTGATCGAATAACATTTTCAAACTGTTTAGACATAATCGACTAATCTGAAACAAGGTTTCATTATAAATTGTGCAAACAGCATGGAACATGACAGGCAAAATATGAAATTGTTTAAACTTGACAATAGAAAAACAATGTCAGTAGCCTATGGGTTGTAAAATTAAACGCTTAAGCACTTATGATCATGCACATTTGTTAAGTAAAGATTTGAAAGTCTTTAGAATCAATTTAGAGGAACGACCTATCAGGATGACAGTCCTTACCAGGCTACAGGTGGGTCCGCTGGCGTCTAGTTTGAACACACCACCCTCCAGGACATCCAAAGTTATTGTGATTCTCTCTATCATATCTTCATCCGTTACGACAATAACTCCAACCACCTCTCCGACCTGCATACTCTCCGACACGTTCAGACTGCCAGCACTACTCACTGACCGCAGCTCCAGACTGGACGGTTTGTCGTTTACATTTTTAACATCAATGGTGAAGTTACGGGACATCTACAAGGATTAGGGTAAATAAAATCACGCATTACATGTACACCAAAGTCGGCATCTTAACACGATAAATAACATCTTACATTTCAAAACTTGGAATATGTCTAACAACTGTTCAGTTCGGGAACTAGTTTGGTTTATACTTCTTTCTCTTGGAGGTAGAACAGATGCCACGAGGCTCTCTTGAAATAGGCCTCTGTAACAATACACGAGCTACGTCAGTTTTAGAGACCTCAGTACAACGACTGCAAAAGGGCTTTGTTATAATTATGGGAATAAATTAAAGCGACAAAACCCTTTCCATATTCATAAGAAATCTCTGCTAAAAGCTGAGTCGATTGTACAATTCCGACTATATCATGACCATTTGTTTATGAATCACTCTCAAATAGTGATGATACCAGGTGTTCGAGAAAAGGTGAGCGTATCCTGACCCACCTGTTACAAACACATGCAAAGGCAAGTCAATTTGTTACCTGATAAAAACACGGGTACAAATCGAATACAGCTTAAATGTACACCATCCTGTATCCATTTCTACAAAGAGAGTCTAACTCTATTCGACTATCAAAGTTCTTATTAAATATCTTGGTACTATTCTCATTAAAACATCTTACGACAGTCATAGTGTTGTATTTACATTATGTTGCGGGGACTGATCACAGGATAAATTATGTACTGCGCTCGGGAAATATTATTTTTCCGACACTCGTTTCATGAAGAAAACATGACACACTCGTGTATTAATCCCTGTTTCATCATATACATATCCAATTCGAGCCCAAAACATGTATTGTGCACCATCCTATAACTCACCGAGAGACTAGGCTCGCCGTCATCAGCCACAGTGGCGAGGATTGTGATACTGGACTGAGCCTCGTAGTTGAGGAGACCGTTGACCAGGACCTGGTCCTCTCGGATGGTCAAGAGGTCACTCTGACCTACGCTGTACGAGAGTGTCTGGCCGTCGTCATCGTCATCAGCGGTCAACGTTCCAACTATGGTCCCAACTGAAGCATCTTCCGATATGGTGCTGGCTGTTGGGTGGAATACATTAAATACCTTAGTTGTTAGAAGTGCTGAGTTCAATTCAGCTTTTATAGACGTTAACGATAAAGTTAACTATTGTAATTTCTCTTTCCTTAGTCATCAGGGGGCTCGGATGGCCCAGTTGTCAAAGTCGACGCAATTTGCTGTGCCGAGCTGCGCCCCTTTGGCGCACCAGAAACCTATGATCATGGGATCGAAACCCAGATTCGAACTGATCATCTGTCTAGGTTTGTCAGTACCATCCCCGTGTTGAGGGGGGGGGGGGGGGGGGGTCTCAAAAGTTGGAATCGTCTACGACCCGGAGTAGTTTCGGCTTTACTTTCCTCTAACACCAAGCTGACATGCCGTGATATAACTGAATACTTTCATAAGCGGAGTAAGGCCGAACTCTATAATTGATCTATAATACGGCGGTACAGTGTTTATATATTCTACAAACGGAAATTTGACACCTATGTTTTGGTGGGTGGACATACGTTAACATGTACATATGAAATGAACAATATTACTTTTTGATTATTCCACCCAGTATTCTACACACACCAAAAAATTACCTGAAAACTTGAGATTGGTCGGTTGGTCATTTGCGTTAATTATGTCAATGATGAATTCAGAGTCCAAGGTCATGGGAGGCAATCCACTGTCTGTTACCTGAACTTTTACCGTTGTTGAACGTTTGCTCTCGTAGTCAAAGTCGGGTTTGGCAACCTGAAATTAAAGTCGCAATTAAACATGCTAAAGGGTCCCACCGACATAGTACATAGACAAACAAAGGGACACTTAAACAGAGACACGGCACAGGCTCATAGACAGTCATTGTAAGTTTGATTCAATACCTCTTTATTTGTCGTGAGAGGCGACTAACGGGATCGGGTGGTCAGGCTCGCTGACTTGGTTGATGCATGTCATCGTATCCAAACTGCGTAGATTGATGCTCATGATGTCAATCACTGGATTGTCTGGTCCAGACTAGATTAATTGGTTCGTGTAACAGTGACAATGACAATGACAGAGGCAATATATCGTGAGGTATATTCTCTTTTACATCAAGTTTTTTTTCCAGTCCGTGTGGCACTGTGACAGTATCAGTGTAAACATGATGAATTTAGTATTAAAGCAAATGTATCATACCATAATAGTCTTATGAAGGATCTGGTATAATTATTACTTTAATATGCAAATGTGCCCATACATCAGGAACGCCTTTCGATACCCTATACACATCGATGCAATGCCTGCCTGCTCCAAAAAACTGTTGGCCAACGTTCCAATAAAGTTTAGATAGTGGTTCCGATTGATGGATATTTCTGTAAGGAAACATAGCTGCCAATATTTTGTGCGCTATACGATAAATTGGGACGTTACCTAACTCATATAGCGTCTTCAGACTTCGGCTATTTCAAGAAAATATGTGGTTGACATAACATGTTGTATTCCAAACATAATATTTACGATGTGGAAACTACAACAAGTCTTAATATTCGGCCAAATGGTCATGTTGGATACATGTTCCTACCAGAAGATGAGACCCATTTATCTTGAATCTACCATCGTCGTCGTCGATGATGGTGTAGGTGAATGTCTGCAACATCGTCTTGGTATTGTCTGGGTCATCGGTGGATAACGCCCCAACAACCGTGTCAACAGCACTGGCCTCAGATACCTGGAAACATTTAGAAGTGGTCAGGTTAAAGAATAATGGTAATTAATCAAGTTGTTATTTCTTATTTTACACTTAGACCGCCTCCGTGGTAGACCGTCCGCCCGGAGAGCGGAAGGTCCGGGGTTCGATCCCAGCCCGCGTCATACCAAAATACGTTAAAAGATGGTACTTGTTGTTACCCTGTCTGGCGCTCGGCATTTATGGGCTAAAACAAGGACTAGTCGGATCGATGTCAGTATACTCTGTCCGAGTGGGGTATTCATATTAATTCGCTGTGCAGAGTTGCGTCCCTTGGGCATGCCAGAAATCTATGATTGTGGGTTCGAATCCCGGTTCGCCCGATAATGTTTCTAGGTTTGTCAGCACCATACCCGTGCTCGTGGGTTTCACCGAAGTGGTAAACGTCTGAGACCTGCATCACTTCGGGCTTTCCTCCCACATTAAGCTGACACGCCGTGATGTAACTGGAATACTGTTAAAAGCGGCGTTTAATCCAACTCAATCGCTCACTATTCATATTAAACTGCGGTATGGTATCTCAGTGTGCTAGCACTATAAATCGCCATCAGTCCGGACTAGTACAAGCAGCCACACACACACACACACACACACACACACACACACACACACACACACACACACACACGTGCATGCATGTCGCTATATAAGTGCAATAATCTTGGACGCGACGTTAAACCCCATTTCACCTCACCTCTTTTACACTTAAGGTACTTACTTGATTTTTCGACAGGGACACACTTGATGGAGCCTCGTTCACGTCTGTGACTTTGATCGTGACCCGCTTCTCAAAGGTCATTGGCGGCTGACCATCATCCGTGGCACTCACCGTCAATACAAACTCGGAGGCCTTCTCGAAATCCAGATGTGCAGATGTCGTCAACTAGAATAGTTTAACATAACATGTTTAAGCTGTGTCGATTGTGAACCCAAACATACATGTGTAATTATTATACGACTTCGAGATCGGGTGGTCAGACTCGCTGATTTGGTTGATGCATGTCATCGTATCCCAACTGCGTGGATCGATGTTCATGATGTCAATCACTGGACTGCCGCGATATAGCTGGAATATTGCTGATTAGGGCGTTAAACAACAAACAAAGACAAACATCGTAATCAGTATAGCTTAATCTAGACGGATATGCCTTATGTGTATGTTGCATAATTCAGTTCCAGACGGGCAAGTTTCTCCAAAATGTGGATTGCAATTTATTATTTTATATTGGTGCGCTACTTATCGACGTCTGATGATCTTATGATTATCATAACAAGAATAACAAAAATCGTAAATCTTCATAACCACTGATACGATACCTTGAGTTGGTTGCCAACAAAGAAGAAAAACTGGGGTCCATTTAGAATCGCAAATGAGTGCGACTGATGAACGTCTGGATCTACAGCAGTCAAGGTACCGACCACCTTGTCCACCGAATTCTCTAGGATCGTCAGGGCTCCGTCAGCCTGCCCGTCTATCAGGATATCCTGGGGGTAAAGGTACACACGGTCACTGATAATACCAGGCCTTTGTAACAGGTATGTAGATAATGTTGTTTAGGTCTACAGAGTTCATTTAGACGGTGCCGTTGCGCGATACTAGCTCTTACGTTTTCACATTAAAACAAATAATGTTGGATCATAAATTGCTCACTGAAAGGCAATACGCCAAAACATTAATGTGAGTTTGTTTTGTGTTTTGTTTTTGAGTTCATGGTTTCATGTTATTCGATGTAAGGACAATAAAAATATGTTAAGATTTTTCATTAAATTAATAAAATGACTGACATATTTTTAAGGCATTTTGTTAATTGCCCAATCAATCAGGCAATTTATTAATTGCCTGAAACGTTTAGGCAATGTGCAATTTGACTGATTTTAACCACTGACTGTCACATACAAACATATGTATATATGACATTTGTCATAAGAGTTTTCGAGAATCTCATTATAACCATTAGCTACCCGGCGAAACATGAAACATGAAAATGGAAAGGGTTTTGTTGCTTTTACTTATCTTGAAAAAATTTAGAGACATGAGGCAGTATTAAGTTAATGTAATTCATTTTACCTTGGCAGGGTCGTTTTTGTCCACAACAGAGAAAGTAAATTGCTGGCTCAGACTCTTCCCCTCACCATCGGTCACTGTGATGTTACCGACAAACGAAGACTCACTCTCGAAGTCAAACATTCTCTCGGTTTTCACGTTGCCAGCACATCGGGTTCCCTAAACATTGAAATGTCCGCTACAAATACAACGTAGATATGAAGCTAAACATTCACTGTTTGAGTAGCTTAAACAATTCAGAACAGTCATAATTGTATTATTTATTAAGTACTTGTGAAGTCGTATTTGAGGGTTCTAATGTTGCCTTTACATATTAAGAACAATATTAGTATCCTATTTCTATTGTAATATTGTACAGTCACATATATTTTCGTAAAATCTTAAATTATGAGATATGATCTTACTTTTGTCAGAGTTAAACATCCCATTTCCTCTATAGAAATCATGGCACTAGACGACACAGCAGTTATATGCTCATCTTTATCTGGGTCAAGGACAAAGAGTTGACCAATCACTGTCTCCTCTGGCTCGTTCTCTCCAACGACTGGTCTATCCACGGGGAACGTCATGTAAGGACCCCCTTTTATTGGCTCTATTGACATTTGTGTAGGGGCTTCATTGACGTTAACAACATTTAAAACGAATTCTCGTTTTGTCTGAAAAATAAAGAAATGTGAATGTAACAAATACGTTGTTACATGAGTATGTACATAGGTCTTTTTCTTACGTAAGCAAGAAAACATAGACAATCATTAATGGATCTCAAAATCAGTGCAAAATATTACCCATAGAGGCAAGCTTATCGGAACCATTATTTTCAGTAATCCTCAATGAGCATCATAATTGAGTTGCAAGAGGCCAATAACCAAGTGTTTGTTTGTTTGTTGTTTAACGCCGTACTCAGCAATATTCCAGCTATATGTCGGCGGTCTGTAAATAATCGAGTCTGAAACAGACAATCCAGTGACAGTGACATAAGCATCGATCCACGCAATTGGGGTACGATGACATGCATCAACCAAGTCAGCGAGCCTGACCACCCGATCCCGTTAGTCGCCTCTTACGACAAGCATGGTCGCCTTTTACGGCAAGCATGGGTTGCTGAAGACCTATTCTACCCCGAATCTTCACTCCATAACCAAGTGACTATATGAGCGCACTGTTGCAAATAATTCAAAATGAATTCATCAATTGTTCATGACTTTACAAACGAATTAAAAGACCTTGTTTCACCAAGAGGCCAACGGGGCTAATGTCTCCAAATGGGATCAGGAAACATTTTCTACATTTTCTCAGAAAAATCCTATAGGGAATATATAGTATAATCAGTTCGGAATTGGACAGTGCTGGTCATGTGACTCTCCTGAATCTGGAGGTTCATCCTCAAGACTCGGAACTTCACACGGGGCAAATAATCCGTAAGCCCTTGTGCCCCGCAGGTTGTTCTCCAAGTATGCCATTGCTTACGGCCCAGGTGCCGTTGTACAAACAACTTAAGCACTACAACAGTCGTAAGTCTCTGTTAAGGTATGGGAGACACAAACACCTTAGCGCTAAGATCGCTTTGTACAACGGCACCCTGTCCCCACTTGCACAAAGCGGTCTTAGCTCTGAGACTATTGTAAACCTATGTTAAAGTATGGGAGTTACGATCATCCTAGCGCTGAGATCGCACAGTACAAGGGCACCTTGGTCTGCACCCCACGTGTACATCGTGATAGACAGCTCATTTTGAGCAGAACTTTTGATAGGAATATTCTGAGTTAATGTGGAACTGAACGATGCTGTTTGCTTGACATACACGTAGTTCCTATTCGACAGTTTCATGAAATTGACATTATCAGCTTCATGTCAAGATTGTTCAAAGTTGTGTCCTCTGTATTGTGGGAAAAGAATACAGAACGATGCTCAAAGATAAGAGATTTAGAAACCATTCATCATGAGATAGTTTTCTATCCACGACAATGCATCAAAATAAAAATAATTGTCCATCACTATTTTAAAAGGCGGCCAGATAATCGTATGGTATAAGTGTGAGCTCGTGTACCCCGTTTGATTTCCCAAGCGGGTGCGACGTGTGAATGTTATGACGTCCTCCGCCGTGAAATTGCATTCTCACCCACTCAAATCCATTCAAAAGAAACATTATTTATAACATTTCACTACCACCAATAGTACCTCAGACGGGGGGTTGCCATTGTCCTTGACCTTCACGATAACGGTATAAGACGGTTTCTCCTCAAAATCCACCGATTTGTTGAGTATCAGTTTGATACCATCTACGCTGACCACGTCTGTCGCATCGCCACCAGCTATAGAGAATTCCAGGCGCTGGTCACGATCCTGGTCCGCCGCGGACAACATTCCTATCACACCTCCTACGTCCATTTGTTCCGGGATGTTGACCTTGTCCAGCGAGAGGTCCATCGGAGGGTCATTAAGGTCCAGCACGCGGAGGGTCAACGTGAAGGTGCTGGTCAGTTTGGGCTCTCCGTCGTCTGTCACTTCAACCGCGATGTTGTGTGATTCCTGAGACTCAAAGTCAAACAAACAGAACGTCCCGCCCTTGACGCTACACATGACTCCTTCGTCGGCAATCTGAAATTGTTAATAACAGTATTAGGTCATTCTTATGACAGATCGCCACCGTGGTCGCCGCCAGGGCCTTTCAGAGTGCGGAGGGTCAGGATTCGATCCCCGGCCGCGTCATACCAAAAGACGTTAAAGATGGTACTTGTTGTTTCCCTGTCTGGCGCTCGGCATTAAGGGGCTAAAACAAGGCCTTGGTGGATTGGTATTCATGTTAAACTGCGGTATGGTATCTCATTTGGCTAGCATAATTAATCGGCATTAATCCAGTCTAGTACAAGCAGCCACACACGCACGTACATGCACATCGCTATATCAGTGCAATAATCTTGGACGTGACGTTAAACCCCATTTCACCTCACCTCATCTAGCGACAGACTATCCAGAGAAGGCCTGGACTTAACATTATTTCCCTGTGTGAAACTAAGACATATTTGTAGGGTCGCTGGACGAAACAGAAATAAGAACACAAATAAAACAAAACAAAAAACACTCTGAAGTGGTCACTGAATACATGGTATAGTCGGTCGCGTAACATATAATTAAATATGATAAAGATACCCCTTCTAAAACACAATATATAGGAAAACGTTTTACACACACAGGTCTCCTCTCTTCTATACAAAATTACGCATGGACATTTTAAATTGGTTAAATAGGCTATATAAAATGACCCCCTTCATAATTTTCATTATATTCACCATTGTGGATCCGTTAACGAAGCAATAAAAATAAACGCCTCAATAAAACGAAATGTATGGACAGAGGTATAGACAAACAAAGTGGCGTTTAAATTAACACAAATGCAACTGAGTTTACCTTCAATGTATCTCCATCCAACATGAACCTGCCGCCGTCATCATCAAGTAGGTTGAAGGTGAACTGCTGGACTGTGCGACCACCAGCATTGTCAGGGTCGTTGACCGTCAGCTTCCCGACCACAGTGCCAGCCTTGACCATCTCTTCAACCTACACACATAACAATGGTGTTTCTCGTGTTGTTATTGACGACGTTGTGTGGGAGCTCCAATACTGGTATTTTACCATATTCTATCCGTCATAACCTTAGCAGAAGAATGTTCATACTGTGATTAGTTCTCCTGGAGATAATTTGAACTAATTCAAAACCTTGGCCGTTTGAGGCGTCTGCTACAAAACTGAGGAGATCATTGTAACTCTACCAGTCCGCTATCCAGCTTTGCTATCTATACGGGATTGCAGAACCATCACAAAGAATTCACATTCTCAAAACCTCTGAGTTACTGCGGCGCGACAATACAACGTCTTCAGAGATAATAAGAATTCCAAGAAGAGACAGCTATTTGGTAATATTACTAATTCACTCAGTCATATTTATATCTTAATAATAAGTCTCAGTAATACTACTAAATGATTTTAATGATATTATTATATGGCCGATTATATCACTAAATGAAATATCTAATTATATTACTTATATAAGATAGCTACGCGATAAATCTCAAAGAACAATGAAGAACAATGAATTTCACGATTAAAGATTGTTCCAGCATGACGTCATTTCTGGAGAATCGAACATGCGATCGCAACCTAATGACGTCATAAATCGGACATTCTTATTTTGTAGAGGAAAGTGTCTTGCGAGTTGTTCTCCATACATGTAGCTGGGCAACGCAGAACGACCAAAAGCGGGAGAGATATCACAATCGGTATTGGGAGAAAATATACAGATAATTGACGTGAGGATTGTGAGAATATACGGGAAATACCCACCTGTTCATAAAATGGGCTTGTCCGACATTGTCGAGGTCGGATTCTATTGAGGGAGTCATCATGATTAAAATACGGGTAAATATTTTTCAAGCTTGTACAATTTATTGACATCTTTAAAAAGGCTGTACAAAATGTTGATATCTCATATAAGAAATAAACGACTCGTGGTCGTTGTTTATCGAACAATATAACAACTCCCACTTGTCGTTTAATTCTTAAATAAAACGCCAGTTAATAATATGTTATATATTTAGAAATATTACCAAGTAAAGAATAAAGTACGAGAACCTGATGTTTTATCGTTGAAACTGTTAGTGAGAGTATTTAGAGATGTAATATTGGAATAATGGTATTATGTAGTGTTAGTGACTATGTATTAGTGGGGAGTAGGTAGTAAGGAAGGAGTGTCGTTATTTCTGAGTAATTTGGAGATAAGTGTGTATATGGGTGGCGAGATGAGGGTGGAATGAAGTAACTGAAGTGAGTTAGCCCGACCACTCGTTCCCGTTTGTCGCCTTTTACCAGGACGAATAGTGGTAAATATGAGCTAAACCGTTTGTTAGCAATACCCATTGGAAAAATATACAGTCGGGTATGAAACGACTACACTAGTGGCCGTATTGTTTAAAACTGTCCGGGCCGAAACCTTCAGGCCATCGTCATCGGCCTGTCCATTTCCACGTCACAAGTCATGCACGGTAAAAGACGCTTATATCGTTGTCTCAGAAATTCGACATTGGTACGCTGATAAAGCATTGCGGTATTTGCTTGACATGTAAGTGAGATTTGCAGAACACTCATTCGTACCTGGTTGTTGCTGATGTTGAGAGCATCAGGCTGTTCATTAAGGTCTAGGATGTAGACGTGAAAGGTCTGTTCAAGTGCCAGACCTCCTTTATCCACCACTTTCACTCTTATCACAAGCTTCTTCTCAGACTCATAGTCCAACTTTGCATCTGGAATTGAAATAAATAACCCCGTACACACTGGAACGAATATTCCAGTTCCAGTTAAGAAATTAAGACCCACGCAACCTATGCTAAGCATAAGAGGCTACTAAATGGATCGGATGGTCTGGTTCGGTGACTTGGTTCATTGCATATCATCTTATCCCAATTGAGAGTATGAATGACAATCACCGGATTGCCTGGTCCAGATTTTCCGCCGACATAATTGTAGCTGCAATATTTCTGAGAGCGGCATTAAACAAGAAACACAAAACAGGTGTTTCTGGTAGTACAGATCATGCCCAACAAACAAAAAATAATTTGTGATGAAACGCCCTAATACAAAGAAGGATCTACGGGTTGTAGTGTTACCAATATCAGCAACTCGTTTTAAAGAAGTCAGTGTTCTATTGTAACTTGGACACGTTGGTTCGAATGCTACATTTTCCCGGATTATGATTCTCGTCTGTGATCACCCTCCGCCTAGGTACGTTCAAACGATAAAAAGTTTAACTAACTCACCCCTTAAGAATAAATTATGCATTGTCGTAGACACTCAAAGTTGCATTTACTGAAACATCGCGGATTAACGATTGTCTTACAGTCATCATGGCGCTGAAGACCCAGTATGGCACTAATAACAAGTGAATACCTCTACAGATACTTAACTAGCATGAAACCCATATTTTATTACAGGGAACAAGCCAGTACCTTGTGAAGTTTCAAGCTGGCCCTTCTCTGAAATGATGAACTTGCCAGCAGCGTTGTCGGTGAGGGAGAAGATGTGAGTGTCGTCTTTGTCGGGGTCCGTGACCGTCAACACACTCAGCTGTTCCCCGTTGTGGTTCTCTTCCACTGTTATGTCCCCGCCTATGTATTCCATGGCCTGAACGACACAGCAGGACAATATTTCCAACAAGAAACATATCTCAAGGGTCAAGTAAACCACTTGAAATAGGTACGCGTTTCTAGGACTGCGATTCATAGACTTCACCCTTGAACCGCCCACACCCAGTCTTATACCCAACTTACCTACACAGTGAAATCCTTATCTTCCCGAGGTGTTTGTATGTGCAAAATTTCAAGAAAGGGTACCTGTTAGTTTTAGAGATATAGTCCAGACAAACACATTAGTACGAAGAGTCAAGTCAAACTTGTTTCCATGGAAACTTGGAAAAGAAATTGAAAAAGATTCCTAAAAAGCAAAAGGAACTTCAGCTCTGATTAATTGATGTACCATGTTGAATAGGTTTTTAGTTCTGCTCCAGAAACAACACCTACCTCCATTTCAGCTAAGTGTAACTTGTTTCCATGGAAACAGGGAAAAATGAAAATTCCTAAATAGCAAAAGGCATCACTTCAGCCCCTGGTTAATACATGTACCAAGTTTGGATGTGATAATTCATTCACGGTTTTAAAGTTATGCTCCAGAAACGAAATACGGACGGACAGACGGACGGACGGACCAGGTGTTGACAATATCCCCCCTCACTAAATAAAAACAAAAAGGACAAGTTATTACCTTTTGTGTATCGGGCTATTTAATAAAACTCTTGACTATCTACCTATGCCCACTCCGAAAGCATGTAAACTGAATGTGCCTACCACTGGTGCCTCATTGACATTGATAACGCCAACAGTGAACGCCTCTGAGGACCGCATCCCCTGGCCATCCACCGCCTTCACCACGATGGGGTGCTGGGGATTCGTCTCAAAGTCCATTGGCTTCGACAACTTAATGTGGGTGCTGCACAATGTGCCTGTGCCCTGGAACACATGATAATGACCACAACACTATATTTTTGTCTATCCACAAGTTCAACAGATGTGTGAATATAAAGGTTATACACAATTCCAGTGATTTCAACGCACCATGCTTACGTAAATGGGTGAGTTGGGTTTAACACCGTTTTCAACAGTATTCCAGTTATATTACGGTGTGTCAGCTTAATACGTGAGGAAAGCCCGAAGTGATGCAGTCTCGCACGTTTACCGCTTCGGTGAAACCCACGAGCACAGATGGTGCTGACAAATCTAGAAACATAATCGGGGCGAACCGGGATTCGAACCAACAATCATAGGTTTCCGGCATGCCCAAGGGACGCAACTCTGCACAGCGAGTGGGCCACCCGTGCCCCCTTCATGCTTACGAATGATAAAATCTAAATATGCCTCCGCCAATAACCCCTTGCCTCGACATTTGTAAAAATCATAACTTCTGACTGGAAGTATAAAAAAATCATTTATGTAGGGTTCAGGTTGGGGTTGGGGTCCAAATCCTTCCAAACACCTTCGCCCATGAACAAGGCACGTTTATATTCATTTTACCAGCACAAAGAAGCTACTGTCACAGAAAATAAAGATATTTTACCTACAGATAAAGGTGCCGAGTTGAAGATACATACATCATTGAAATGACACCAAAACGACCAATTGGAACGCCGGTGTTAAATGGGGTGATGTTAGATACATTACAACCAAACATACATTGAGCATATTATAAAATAAATAAAAGTTTGTCGTGCAAACGTTTGTCTCCAATCTTACTTCTGGTCTACAGGAAGCAGGCGTGGTCTCGATCATGAAGTGACCATTAGCGTTGTCCAGCAGCTCAAAAGTAATGACTGACCCTGGGTCATTGTCCACGGCCGTGACGGTTCCAACGATACTGCCTAATGCTGCATCTTCTCGAACGGTTGGTTCGTTCCGGGAAAACTGGTTGACGCCATCCTGAGACGTAATGCTGACGTCACGAGGGGCTTCTTCAGTTCCGGTCACAGTCAGATAGAACGTTTCTTCAGTCTGAAACGGAAGAGAGAAAACGTGTGATTATTTTATTTTCGAGAAAAGAATCGAGAGATATCAGTTGAAACATTATAATCTTGTATTTTCATTTTGTTTAACTAACTCAATGTGCTGATGTTCGTTCAATGCCTACCGTTTTAGGATCTATTCCATTCTCCGTTGCTTGTACAACTATTTTGTAAGTCTTTTTGTTGTTTAGTCTATCATCCGTTGCCTTGACAACAGTTTTTGCAGATTCTATCTTAAACATGCCCTCTGCATCCCCCAACAGGGAGAAGGTGTGAGTCTGCCCAACATCCTCGTCATCCACAGTCAACGTTCCAACCTTGGTACCAGTTGATGCTAACTCCTCAACTTTATTGTCTGCAAGCATACTTCCGCGGGTAATTTATAACATTATTTGCTAGTTTTGTAAACTTCCGGGCAGAAGAAAGTATACACCAATGTTTGATTGTGACTAAAAATGAAACAAACAATAAATGGTTATTCCACGGGGATGTATTTGAGTTATAGTTGTGTTTCAATCTCATTAAAATCAAATCTTAGTTTTCGCTACCGTGGAGAGAGCTAATTGATTGTAGTGAGATTTAGTAGTGTTTGGTACCTAAGTTTGCAGTGTTTCGGGGACTGTTTTCAGCCTAGTAACATTTTGAAAACTTTTGCCATTTTTTTACACATCAAGTTTTCAAATGTATACATTCTTTTGCCCGGCAGTTTATATGATATAAATACATAAACGTAACCCTTATATACCGAAAAAAGTATTTCAAAAACCAAAATAATAATATCTTACATGAACGACGATAGATCAAGGTATAGACAGATTACAAAACAGTGAACTGTTAAGGTTACCGATGACCAAACAGGAACAGCAGGATGTGGGTACGAAAACCAGATTCTCACATGCCAGTATTAATGATCATTGGTGTGTCATGCCATGTCCGTTTTTCTAAAACACTGAAACTGGCTACACCGTGTTATAACTGTCATATTGTTTTATCATTCACTCACTTAGATCCAGGATATTTAAGTACACAGCATCGTCGCGCAACACGAACTCACCGCTAAGTCGGAGGTTTCTGGGAGCATCGTTGACGTCTGTGATATTCACCTCCAGTACAAATCGGTTCATCTTGCTGGGCACTCCACTATCTGCCACAGCCACCTGGATTGAGTGGGTTTTCTTGTCCTCGTAGTTCAAGTGACAGAAGTCGCCACCCTTTGACAAGCAATCCTTGTTGGGTTGAGCAACCTAAAAAATATTCGAAATTTCAAGTCCTCCATTGACCTTTTGTTCTTTATACCACCTTCAGCCTACGGTCTACTGCCTTTATATTGCGCTCCGCCTGTTAGCCTCTTTCTACCGCCTGTTGTCCATATTACCCTCCACCCATTGCCTAAGCTGACTCCGTCTTCTGTGATCCTTTCCTACCGCCTTCTTCCATCCACCAGCTTACATCTACTGTCTCAGCCCACAATGGCGCTTCTACTGTCTGCAACCCTCCGACTTTTGTCACCCGCCCACTGTCAACCTCTGACCCGTGACCACCCAATCCATTAAGTCGCCTCTTAAGAAACTCAAAGGTGGAAGCGAATCTTTTCCAGCCAGGAATCCCCAAAGGGTGCATCTGTTGTGAGTGATGGTCGAGGTCACGTCACAGTCTGTCCTTGAATAATTATACGTCCGTCCAAGACATGGTTTTGTCGCAAGTTGTTTGATGCCATGTGATGTATGGCGTGATTTGAAAGCTGTACTAACGTTTTCACTACAATAATCCTCTAAACGTCTACGTTCCTCCAAAGTGGTAAACGTTGATCACCTGATGAAGGATTATATACGCCAAAACTTTGTGTTCTCATAACAAAGAAGTTTACATGCATAAATTCTCTTCCTAATGTCTTCGACCTGTGCCTCTGTGGGTTTCCTGCCACATCAAGCTGACACGCCTGGGCATAATTCAAATAACTCCCCCGCTAAGATGGAGATTTATGGTTGCATCATTAACGTCACTGACGTGTAACTCCAGAACAAATCGGTTCATCCTTTTAGTGACATTCACTCACTCACTCACTCACTCACTCACTCACTCTCTCGAACGAGCCCCCTCACTCACGCTTCCGTATAGCCTACCAGCAACTGGTCTCCCTGAATCCGGAACCTCCCGTCAGCATTGTCCATCAGGCTGAAGGTGAACAGCTGCCTGTTGGAGTCAGCGTTGTCAGGGTCGACTGCGATCAACGTGCCAATCACTGTTCCCTCCCCACTATTCTCGGCCACCTGGAACACATATCATGATAACATTACATATTCCGTGTTATTTTTAACGATACTTTGTTTGCAATGAGATATATATAGACTTTGTAATTGATCATGATAAATTATTTTGCAGTTTTGAGGTAGCAGTCCCAGATTGTTTTTGAGAATTTACAATTGCACAAAATTCAGAAAGTAATCTTAAGTAAACTCGTTACGTGGGCTGACCACCTTACCAAGTAAACTAACTTTCATAAATAAATAAAATCATTCCTCAATTTCATTTTTTCACAACAGTGGGTCTGACTTTTGAGCCTTTTAAGAATTTAAAAACAACAACAACTATTTTACTATGCTATTTTAGATATATATATAGAAATAAATTATTAGCCGTGTGTGTGTTATTGCCTTGAATATAATATTTCATAAATACGAATTTAATAATGCGAGCCTTTGGAATCACACGATGATAATTTCTTTTAATGCCAATCTTAGAATAGTTAAAGTCTGAGCCATATTTTACTTTTGATATCGCGTAGGAATACAATGTTCGGTTGAACCGTCCCATTAATAACACATTTAACTTCTATCTAACCGTTTGGAACGATATGCAATACTTTTTCCAACAATTAGATAAATCATCGCGTATGGAGCTACGAGTATTACAAGCATCGGATTGTCCGTATAGAAGTACACTGACAGAAATAGTTTGTCAAGTTCACTAAGTGAAATTCACTGTCCACTCACACACTAACAGGTTAGTAGATTTTACTAATCAGTTAGTATTTGTTTTACCAGGTGGCCTATCGACACTAAGTAAAACAGGTTAAACAGTAATCAGATCAACTTTCTTTTCCTGCTTTTGTATGAGAGAAATACTATAAAACACAGAATCAACACATTAACGAACACAAAGAAATTTAAACTTCAGTGGGATTCGAACCTGCAATCTCTTGAAATCCACCACGCTACCACCTGTGCTACGGAGAATGTTGTCACAGTGTCAGTTTTCCTTGTAACCTTTAGCTTGGTTTATTTGTACATTTTTATGTTAATATTGTTCCAAGTTCGTTCGAAGTCATATGCAATTGCCTGTGAATCTGAATTGCACAACTGATTTTAATAAATATTATCCCCCTCATATTTGATGATATGCACTTTATTAAACATGTTCAAATTCTAAACACGTTTAGAGTTGTTTAAATTCTAAGCATGCTAGGCTTTATGGGGATGTTGTGTTAAGGTGGTGTTTGGGCTATGAGGCGATAGCTCATTTCATGTGTTAAGACCCTAAACATGTTTAGATAGAAAAACACACCAAATGTGCATACCGCTTAGGATTGAAACACATTCCTAAACATGTCTTGCATGTGTTAACGTTCTTAACAAGTTTTCTACAGTGTGGTTTAAATAGTGAATTATACTAATTTGATTAGTGCTATTTACTAATCTTCAGCATATTCGTGCAATCTAGCTGGGCCCTGTTCCACAAAGCGGTCGTAGCGCTAAGACGACCGTAACTACCATTCTTTAACATAGACTTACGGCAGTCTTAGCACCAAGATCGCTTTGTGGAACGGGGATAGTCATTTTGCTGTTTACGAATCCTCTGGCCGCTGTTACTAATTAAGTTAGAAGAATTCAATTGGCATTTTCCCAGTGTATTATCGGATACCAATTTCATCTATTTACAATGGCAAGCATATGTAAACATTACTTCAGTAGCGTACTTATTAGATCTGAGAATAGCCTGGTAGCTTGCGATACAAAACGTATCACGATACAGACTGACGATACCACTGCTATCACGATACACCAACAAATAGTAAGAAATGATGAAATCACTGAAATTAAACACCTATGGATGCATTCATTTACTTATTATTATCTCAAAACCAAAACCTTGTTAACGAAAAAACAACAAGAACAAAACAAACAGTATTAACTGAAGGGATGTTTTTTTTAATGTAATAGTTTAAAAGCAGACACGTCCTCGTGTTCCTCCATGCTTACAAGTGAGTGCGTGAGTATGGTTTTACGCCGCTTTTAGCAATATTCCAGCAATATCACGGTGGGGGACACCAGAAATGGGCTTCACACATAGAACCCATGTCGGGAATCGAACCCGGGTCTTCGGCGTGACGAGCGAACGCTTTAACCACTAGGCTACCCAACCGCCTCCGATGCTTACAAGTTGCGCTATGCTACGTACTTCTGCCTTTATAGGAGCTAACTTTCTGTTCAGTTTCTGTTCAGTTTCTGTTCGGTTCTGTTCTATTTATAGTGTATCACGATCTCACAAACTTACGATTAAAATATTGTCTATACCTTAGTATCGATGATATCGTAGGTATCGACGAATCGTTACAGCCCTAGTACTGACCGCTTTATTCGAGAGCGCCAGCTGTGACGGCTGTTCGTTGATGTCCTTCACCACGACTGTGATGTTCTTCTCCAGTGACCGTGGAACATCCCCCGAGTCGGTCACCTCCAGCGTCAGGTGGATCTCCGGGGTCACCTCGTGGTCAGCGGCGGTTGACAGCTGGAACACCAGGTGGTCACACTCAGAGCTCACCTTAACCATGTCGTCACTGACTAACTGACAACGACCGGTCAAGACATGGCGCTATTGTGTAATCGAGTAAATGTATGTCATGACGTTTAAGTTACGGTTAAACGTTGTTTTGAAAGTATTTCCGTCATAACACGTCGGATTAATTTGGGAGGAAAACCCTAAAGAGGCAGGTTACAGACGCTTACAACTTTGGTGAAACCCACAAGCACAAATATAGTGTATAGGTTTTGTTGGTTGGTTGGTTGGTTGTTTAACGCCGAAATATTCCAGTTTATCCGTTCATCGGTTTCTCAGTGAGTCTCATGTCTGACTGATGTCAAAATTTTGCCTAATATGTTGTTTTATAGATTTGTCTGTTTGTTTGTTTGGTGTTTAACGCCACACTCAGCAATATTCCAGCTATATCACGGCGGTCTGTAAATAATCGTGTCTGGACCAGATAATCCAGTGATTGACATCATGAGCATCGATCCACGCAATTGGGATACGGTGACATGCATCAGACATGTCAGCGAGCCTGACCACCCGATCCCATCAGTCGCCTCTTACGACAAGCATAATCGCCTTTTACGGCAAGCATATGTTGCTGAAGACCTATTCTACTCCGGATCTTCATGAGTATGTATGCAGTGTAGGTAAACCAAGGATAATAGTCAGAGCGGACTGGGAATTCGAACACATGATGAGAGTGTCCTGGTATGCTGAGGAGATGGCGCACTGAGCTACCAGTACCTGTTTTCTCTTTGAAAGCTTACTGCAATATCAAAGGGGACACCTCGAGTACGGGGAAGCTACGGACACACCAAGGATTATAACCGAGGCGCAAATGGAATTCGAACAAGCAATCCTTCCATTCCAGCTAATCTAGCAACTAAAGTTAACGAATGTGTGTATTCTAAGAAACTATTGATCAGAATATTACATAGATTTAAACCTAAAACGCAAGTTGATTGTGCCGTTTTTGTTCCATATCGAGAGCAATCGTCAGGTTGAGCTATATACCCTGAGGAGGTCCCCGCTAACTGCGAACTGCTCGCCGCCATCTTGATACTTGATACGGTAGGTGTGTGCCTGTCCCTTGTCTCTGTCAATGGTGGACATTGTGGCTACATCGAGAGGAGATACGTTCTCAGCAATGTCAATCTTTGACGTCGAGATGCCGTCCAGCAGGATATCCTGGTAGGGAATTCAAGGAAACAACCATCACTCGTTCATTCTATACAGTGAGTGAGTGAGTTGGGTTTAACACCGCTTTTACCATTATTCCAGTTATATTACGAGGTGTCAGCTTAATGTGGGAGGAATGCCCGAAGTGATGCAGGTCTCGGACGTTTACCACTTCGGTGAAACCCACGAGCACGGGTATGGTGCTGACAAACCTAGAAACATAATCGGGGCGAACCGGGATTCAAACCTACAATCAGAGGTTTCTGGCATGCCTAAGGGACGCAACTCTGCACAGCGAATTGCGGCGCCTTAGACGACTGGGCCACCAGTGCACCCTTTCTATGGAATGGAAGCCTTCCCACACATTCCCCAAATAATCGAAACATGTTACATTGTAATGTCACTTTGTGTACAAGTGAGAATTCACAGCAGTATTCGTTCTGAAGGAACGGATTTGTTTAACGATGTCCGTACTAGCGAGGTTTCATTGTATTCATGACCGGCATAAATGCAATTCTGAATAGCGAATAATTTTGTCGATTTATTAATATTTACTTTGTTGGAAAACTGGTAACTCTGAATTTGTATTTAACTTGAATAATGACTAAAACACATAACGTGCTGGTGATAATCTAGAACGTATATGTAATTCAGATATGTTACAAAAACAGCAGCCCTCCACAATATCAAATAAAAATAAATGCAATGTATGGCTTATCAATATTTATATATCCTAGTAAAGATACATTTCCTTTCCCAGAAATTATAAAAGTCACGTCACCTAGTTATATGAAACAAATTAAAATTTCGCCTTACAATCGGTCATGCCAATATTGATCATTAGTTTGCCATGACGCTGCTATTTACATTTATTGCACGGTCCCATTCCGTGTTTTACAACGTACATTCCTGCAAGTTAAATACTAGACAAATAGACCACTGTCTACTCACATGGGGAGGGTCATTGATGTTCACTATTTTGATGGTCAGGAGTTGCTGTGTCTCCAAATCTTTGTTGTCCCTAGCAACCACGGGAAGAGAGTACAAAGGATGCTTGTCGAAGTCAAACGCGATGAGACTCAAGAGTGACGTCAGACATACTGTTCCCGCCGAGTCCGTCTGTTTTGATGGAACATCAGAATGAGATAATATGATGTCAATTGTATAGTTGGTTATTGTTAGCGATTGAGCAAATTGTGTTCAACACCCCTTTGGTCAGTATTTCATTTATTCCACGATTTGTCTGCTTAAAGTGGGAGGGAAGCCCGAAGTGACTCAAGTTATAGACGTTTCCCACTTGCTGAAACCGACGAGCCCGGAAATTGTGGCCACAGAAAGACGACCATAATCGGTATGAATTCGGGAATGTAACCCATAACAAGCGGATCCTGGTACGTCCGAAGTTGCCTTTTTGAGATAACGTATTATTTCATTTTGCCCAGATTAAGATATGGATGTATCATAGTGCTCATTTAGACATTTATTCCACAAAAGGTCCGTCAAATGTTTGTTAACATATCTTGAAAGTTATATCTTTTTTCAATGACAACTGTTCAAAATACGCCGTGATGCTACGGTAATGTAAGTGTTGTAAACTAAATTCAACCAGGACTAATCCCCATTCTATTGGCTATGTCCTGACACTCTAAATTAATGTTCGAATATCTTCACAATTTTCTGTGAAGTATTATTTACTTCAACCAGTAATGACCGCCTCCGTGGTCTAATGGTATAGCGTCCGCCCGGAGAGCGGAAGGTCAGGGGTTCGATCCCCAGCCGCGTCATTCCAAAAGACGTTAATAGATGGTACTTGTTGTTACCCTGTCTGACGCTCGGCATTTAGGGGCTAAAACAAGGACTGGTCGGCTCGGAGTCAGTATACTGTGTCTGAGCGGGGTATTCATGTTAAACTGCGGCATGGTATCTCAGTGTGCTAGCACTATAAATCGGCATCAGTCCGGACTAGTACAAGCAGCCACACACACACATACACGTGCATGCACGTCGCTATATACGTGCAATAATATTGGGCGCGACGTTAAACACCATTTCACCACACCTCACCTCAACCAGTAATATTTAGAACTATATTTTGTGTAATTGTGTAATTATCACACTGTTAATAACAGACGGGAACGACAAGGGAGGCTTTCACGGAGTAGTCTGTGTACACTATAATTATATGTAGCGGCCATAAAATGTCCGAGTCCCGTGATGGGTTTCGAACCACGGAAATTCTGATCCGAGGTCGGACGCCTTGTCCACATGACCAAAGAGGTTAACCCCGTCAGCAAGTTGACATGGTAAGGATGTCATCTGTGGGACGACTCCACACCCTGGTACACACTCCTCCGTCAACAGAAGACACGTCCATGGCCGCACACTAGGGAACTGAGACTTATTTTGTTTAAATTCAATATGAACGTGCTCAGCCCCACGTTGGGCGCCAATGTGGAGGCCATATTATTTCCGAGTCCACGAATTCGAACCACGGACCTTCTGATCCGAGGTCGGACGCCTTGTCCACATGACCAAAGAGGTTATCCCTGTCAGCAAGCTGCTATCTGTTGGATGCATCAACTCCCTGCTACATATACAATGCTGTACCGGTCATGCTTGAACGTATCTATCTTTACAATACTTGTTTTATTCACAGAAACATATCGTTAACCTGTTTTGAGCAAATAGGCTGAGTTGTCATGAAATCATCTTCAAACTTTGTGATGGAGAAGCTGATCTTCGCATCAGCATCGGGGTCGACTACGGAGATGTTGGCGATGACCGTTCCTACATCTTCATCCTCAGACACGCTCACGATACTGATGCTAGTGAAGTCGGGGGCCTCGTTGACGTCCAAAACCGTCACTGTCATCACATCTTCCACCTACAAGGACGTTTTCATTATCACCGTGTAATGTATGTATCGGACCCACTCAAATTCATCGCTAGTACTCCAAACTTACGTGCACGTGTTATTTATGTAGCTAGAATATTGAAAATTCCTTTTGTGTAATCTGGTAATTTACACCTCTTATAGAAACAAAATGGGATCATATTTAACTACACTGGAATATTTTACAATTTCGATCACCATACAAATGAGAGCATTGTACAACTGAGATTAATATACAGCTTAGATCATTATGCAACTGAGACCATTATACAACGGAGCTCATTGTACATCCAAAACTATCCTCCACAGGATATATCGCTTGGGCTAGATCATTTGTGACCTTATCGGTTACCATGACGTCACAATCAAATATTCAGCTGTACGCGTTACACTTAAGATACTGTTTATTACTGTTTACGGAAAATGTTGGACGGAAGAATAATGTTGAAGATGAATGATAAATATACTCGCATCCTTAATATGAAATATATCAACACTCGTTGATAAAAGTTTCAAATTCCTCGGCAAGCCTCGGTGTTTTCAACTTTTATTAAATTGTGTTAATATATTTGATATCAAAAGACACTCGGGCGAGTTTGTATTAAGTATACAACTGAGACCATTATACAACTGCGATCCTATAAAACTGAGTTTAGTATACAACAGACCATTATACAACAGAGATCCTTATAAAACTGAACTTATTAAACAACTTATACAACTGATACCATAATACAACTGCAATCCCTGTACAACTGAGATTACCTATTCTACAGCTAATATTACTAGAAAAACTCACTAAGTTCGTTGTCAGTTAGATTTGCACCTGGTGCCTAAGCAAGACCTACATCGAAAGATCACCTACAACCAGAAGAAAGTGTCGGAACTGGAGGATTAAGCTTTAAAGACATAGAAAACTACTTTATCACTTCACTTTTTAGGTCCTAAAATAGAGACTAGTGGGTTTGGAAGATCGCTTCTTCTCAATCAGTAATTGACATTGTAATCTAAAGGATTGTTTCCCAAGCTTCCAAACTTACCGACGCTGGCGGTGACCCGCTATCAGTGACCTTGACCTTGACCTGATAACTAAAGGTTTCTTCGTAATTAAGACTTCTGCTTGTGACCAGAAGGTTTGAGTCGTGTATCATGAAGATGGAGCTCTCGATCACCTCAAAGGTCAAGGTCTGAGACTGATCAGTGTCGTCTGCATTCAAGGTACCTGGGGATGGCGTGTCATATTTTAGTGTGTTGTTTCATGCAGAAAGTTAACTCACACGTGGGGATTCCGGGGCAAAACAAACCCCAACGCTTGTCGCTTTAAATGAGGGTTGGATAGTAACAGTGTGTGAACTGACTAATTGTGTGTCAGCGTACCCCGACTGCATGGCATGTAGCTGTTGTCAATAACCTAGTACTATTATGTAGAGACGGCCATATAATAGTTATAGTATTGCTCACCTAAAACGAGGCTTTAATTCACTCTCACCCTTCCCCTTTACAAGACAGGTAACTCGATATACAATAAAAGATACTGATTTTGGACAGCTAGGGGGAACTCCGTGGATCTCAACCCATGTTATCAATCTTTGGTATTACTTCGATGTCGCTACATTATATATATATAATTATTGATGGCAGCTGTGTAAAACAACATGCATTCCTTTTGTTTTAAGTGAGTGAGTATGTTTTGTTTTATGCCTTGAACAGTATTTCAGTTATACCACGGCGGCTCAGCTTGATGTGGGAGGAAAGACCGAAAAAATTCTGGTCTTAGACGTTTACCAATTTTGGTGAAACCCACAGCATGGGTATGGTGGTGACAAACTAAGAAATGTATTCGGGGCAAATCTAGGACATGAACCCATGATCTCAGATCCCATCCCTCCCCAAGTAGCATGTAAATAAACCAGCGGTAGACTGCAAGAGTAATGATCAATGCTGTTTGATCTTATAAACCAAGAATCATCCTTACCAACGATGGTGCCAGCAGGTAGGTTTTCCCGCAAACTGGCCCGTGTCAGTCGGAGATTTTCCGGTGGATCATTGGCATCAAGAACGCTTATGATAAATATCTCATCAAAACTCATCCGAGGCTTCCCGTTATCACGAGCTCTGACGGTGATGTGGATCTCGGAGTCGGTCTCAAAATCCAGACGACAGAGGTCCGTCCCACACCGAACACGTGACGAAGCGGTGACAAGCTGATTGCCCTTGACCTCAAACAAGCCTCTGCCGTCGTCCGGCAGGCTGAAGGTGAAGGTCTGACCTCCAGCGTCTTTCCTGTTGTCAGGGTCCACTGCTCCAAGGTCACCCACAACAGTTCCGATAGGACTGTCTTCAGATACCTAGAAGGGTCGAATGAGTAGACCCTAGATTGATATCACTATTGATATTTATCGTGAGAAAATGGTGACAAAATATTGCCCTTTGACATTACCTTGATCCATTACGATTACCCACAAAAGCGCTCTCTTTGTTACAACGCAAGGATACACAGCCAAAGAACTTAGAGAGTCAATAATATTACCCAGAGAGGTTATAGTCAGCTATAGAGACTAACAGTTTTAGCCCACTAGTCATATAATGATAACATATAGCAAAGCCTTAAAAAGGGCAAATATCTACTTGATCTTAGGATACCAACTGGGCAGTTTGGCAGGGACCACAACCCTACTGCGAATTTCTAACTTTTTGATATTTGCATACATGTATATGCATTTTACCGATTCTCAGTGTTAATTTGTTTGAGAAGTGATAGACTACTCGTTGCTCCATTGATGGAACAGCACGACAAGACGTCACAAATCGGAAAAAAACATCACATGAGCTGAAATATAACTTGACGTCCATGAGGTGTTTTCGTGGGGTTGACATTTGATTGGCTTTTCATTATGTTGTTACTATAAATGGCAAGCGGTAATACCTTGTCGAAACTGGGATGATCTAGCCCGTGTTCATGAACAGTTGAAGTATTCGGAATAATCCGCAATTCATCGTAATTTGTTGATCATTTTATTTCAACTTGTCAACACTCTATCGTAACTAAAATAATCATAATGTCATGCCTCCTTTATTTCCCTAATACAGAATTCGCAAACAATCATAGTTACGTGGTTTTCTTCAGGGCAGAAGCGGTCGGACAAAGGAAGAGAATATTTAACTGAACGACACTTTGTAATACGTACTTTGTTCATGGAGAGACTTATATCTGACGGTGGCTCGTTCCTGTCGACGATGATGACGGTGAAAGTTTTCTGAAATGACTGAGGAGGGACTCCATCATCTGTTGCAGTCAGTGTCAGAAGAGTCGTCTGCTGTGTTTCAAAGTCCAGGTTCGCTGTCGGTGATGTCTGAAAATGTTACTTTAGATTACTCTTCCAATTTGGCAGCAGAAGCAACGTATTACACATCGCATGACCGTGACGTCCTGCACAAGACTATCAGAGCATTTGCTGATTGAGTCCAAAGGATTTACTGTCCTGTGTACCGATACAAACCAGACACGCACTCAGGCAAGCATCTACACTTATGACGACATATCATTTGGGATTTCCCTTTGAGGTTAAATGTATTTTTTCCTGGACTCCTCCATGGATAATGCAATTCTAGCATTTGCTTGGACGTTTTTTGGACCAGATATAAGTGTCTCCAAGCACTGCAAGTGTCGTGCTGCCATGCATCTGTCACGCCCTTACTATCCAGAAATATATCGCATCGCGTTAAGTCACTCTCTCGCGGGCGCCACAACTCGTGCAAACGTGTGCCCCTTGGGTGTCAGGATCCAACATTCTCCTCGTTTGTCAGCACCATATTTGCGAACATGGGTTTCACCAAACTGTGAAGTCCCTCGGACATGCAACACATTGGTTTCCTTCCACATCAAGCTGACAAGCCCTTTACAAATATGAGTTAATTATTGTACAATCACTCACTCACTCAATCAGCTTAGCAATAGCTTCTTAATGCATCTAACAATGCTATTCAACATGAACAATGATTGGTATAAGACATGCTGTCCATGTCAAATGTTTATTCTTTTTGTTGTTCAGGCTACGAACCAGCCTTACCATCAGTTGGTCCCCCTCAATCCTGAAGTTTGAAGCAGCTTCTCCAGACAGGAAGTAGACATGATTATCCCCCTCGTCGTCGTCCACGGTGGTAACAGTAGCTACAGTGAAGGACCGTTGATCTTCGGGAACTTTGACCTCGTTGGACGTTAGGCCATTTAGAATTATATCCTAGATGCAAAGTACAAAATACGTGCTGAAGATAGTGTACATGTCGTAAGTGTGGTGATAATGGTATTCAATTCTAAGTTATACAATTTCTTGACATGCGCTTCTGGGTAGGAGGGGTACTCGTTAGTGTAGTATGTTTCAAGTAGATCAAGAGATAAATGAGGATGTATTCAAAGTACATATGACAAAAGAAGGACAAGATACAAGAAAGGGTAAACGTTACTGGTTTTATATTTTGATCCAAACCAAAGATCAATGATCTATTCATCTAAGGTACCATCTATATATTTTCAGGGTCGGGTGGGATGGAGTGGGGGTGGGGTGTTCCTTCAAGTTGGGATAAATTACTTTTGTGTCATTTCTTCAACATAAATGTTTTTGTATTTACCTCAATTAACAATCGGCTTTTATGTTGTAATTTTTTTTTAATCCGAAGGTGAAGCAACGTTATTTTTCCCAAGGTGGTCTAAGTTAGTTCTTGTTGAATCCAAGGACGCAACACTCAACACGTTCCCACTGAGATAACTATTGGTCAACTAACTTTAGGAGGGTCGTTGGCGTCTTTGACACGGATTGTCATAGTGTTTGAGATGCGGACCTTCCTCTTGTCCGTCGCCATGACAGTGATGTGGAACTCCTGCACCTCTTCGAAGTCCACCGACTCCTCCATCAAGATGGACGCGGTGCAGTAGTTGTTGACGTTCTGGAACAGCAAGGGGAGAAACACTTCTATTGCAACACATGGTTTTCATTCCATTGACCTCACCGCTTATTGAATATAGTATCTGCATATAGAGACTATCCGTTCATCACACGTGCTCTTTTTCCGTTAATATATACAGTTGCACTTTCGTGTTTCAGTGAAAACATTATGAATATAGATGGGTGAGTGAAGGGAGTTGATTGTGAAATTGTTGATCATGGAACTGAGATGCTTTCTATGGGTAATTTTGTTTTCTGTTGAAGTAGGATCCAAACAATTTTATTTTATTTCAAAGCACATTTTCCTCAGGACATTCGGCATGTCCAACCTACAATTGTTTTCGTTAAACATGCTGACAAATACAGTTTTTATCATGGAACAAACACAAGTTCTTTTAAAAGAATTCCCAGCCATCATGTGGCAGTCACGTGCACGACACAAATCCCAATGTGGATTCTGAGACGACCTGGATTGGACTAATTGGTTACAGATAATACTCTCGTCAATTTTGTAACCATTGTAACACATTGTAACCAACCTGTAATGGCACACATCGCTGTGAGACCAAACTGAACTTGCTGTATGTGGAAATGACTTTCAGTTCCAAGTGTTCATCTTCATCCACATCATATACACTCAATGTACCCATTATCTCCCCTGGAATAGACGTCAGTTTGCGCATCATTAATTCACTATGTAGACAACAATAGCGCAATCTCGCTGTATAACACGTCAAGATAACAAAATCTGTCATAAACATTTGTTAAATGCCTGCAAATGATAAACTTCTAAATGTAATCTAAATCTCATTAATAAGTCCAAACGCTTGATATCAAAAATGAAAATGTTAGTGAGTCAGCGGTTTTACACGCTTTTAGAAATGTTTCAGCAATACCACGGCGAGGGGCACCAGCAATGGGCTTCAAACATTGTACCCATGTCGGAATCGAACCCGGACCTTCGGCGTGGAGAGCGAACGCTTTAACCACTAAGCTACCTCACCGCCCCTCTAAAATGTGGACATGAACGTGAAACCATGTACCTATATACAGAAGAAATATTCTTGTCACAGGCAAATGTCTTTCAAGTGTATTGATACATTTGGACATATACTCATACTTAAACAAATCTCTTTGAATCTGAGTTTTAAAAGACATCGGCTGACCTTTGACGTTTTCTTTCACTCTAGGGTGATCAGTTTCATAGCTGAGCTTGCTGTTGTCCGACGTGACGTGTAGATCGTAAGGTGACTCATTGACATCCCCCACGCCAAACAGAAGCTGAAGAGTTGCCTGGAGAGACAATGTAGTACCAAATCAATTAGTTCCAACCAGAAAACAAGCTATAAAATAAAAGGGACAAAACTATGGAATACTGTAAGGGACATTCTCGCGATCTTGCATTCTCGCGATCTCGACCTTTGAAAACAAGCTTAATATGCCCAAAACACGAGAATGCAAGATCGCGAGAACGCGAGAATGTCCCTTACAGTATTCCATACAAAACCCTTTCCATATTCATAACAAATATCTGCGAATGCAGAGTCGAGTGTACGTTTTCGACTAAATCATGTTTGTTTGTTTGTTTGTTGTTGTTTGATCTACGCAGTTGGGATACGATGACATGCATCAACCAAGTCAGCGATCCTGACCGCCCGATCCCGTTAGTCGCCTCTTACGACAAGCAAAGTCGCCTTTTACGGCAAACATGGGTCGCTGAAGGTTACATGCACAGATAGATTATCAAGAAAAAGCTATTACGCTCAATTTTGTCACTTTGAGGATTATAACCTTTATACTACAATTATGTTTGTTTGTTGTATTACGCCGCATTCAACAATATTCCAGCTATATGATGGCTGTCTGTAAATAATAGTCTCACAAAAAAACTCAGTGATTGGTGTCGTGAGCATCGATCTACGCAGTTGGGATACCATGGCATGCATCACCAAGCCTGACCAACAATCCCCGTTAGTCGTCTCTTAAGACTGGCATGGGTTGCTAAAGATTACTTTAAACTTGAATCTTGATAAAGGAAGAAGTACCTGTCCGGAAACATCGCTTTGAAAGAACAAACGAGGTTGAAATTCATTAGTCAAGTCTTTCTTCTCACAGGTTCTATGTCCATTTAACGTTCTTGTTTGACATATGTCTCTGGACAACTGACTGGATAGGTGTAGACACTTACCTCCATAGGTGGACTACCATTGTCCGTGACACGTATGTCCAGTGTGTACTGTTTGTTCTTATTGGCCTCGTGGTCAAGCTTCTTTGAGGCCGTCAGTTTGTCGCCCTTGATCGCGAACAAGTTGGAAGGGTTGACCAGAATCTCGAAGGTGTGTGACTGACCAACGTCGTCATCAACCACCACTACAGCCAGCGTCTCCCCTGTCGTAAAGTTAATACTTCAATACAAAATGTCATTAGTTGTATTACGCTTGATTGTAATACCAACTTTTGACGTCTAAGTAGACACAGTTCATGGATAACACATTCTTTACTCTACTGTAATAGTGACGTTTCGGTATAGATCCTTATACCTTGTCAAGCAAGACTTGTATAATAAAGAAGTTGTTATTCATAAATTGTGTCTCCCTGGTCATCTGCAACTTTTAAGAAATGTCCGTCAGACAACTCTTGGCGTGAAACCGTAGGCGCAGTTACGCAGATGTCATTGCAGTGTCATTGAAGTGTATCTAGCCTTGGGAACTATACATGCAAACTATTACATCAATAGAAAATCAGATGGGGCGATGACTTGCTCATGGTCAAATAATAATGAAATGCCTCCTGAAAAAAATGAAAGTGTTGACAAAAACAAAATCTAGTTCTCCTACCAATTGCATCTCATAATTTTCATGAGCAGTTCTAAGCGTTTTGTTCATTTTTTAAATTACGTGCATATTCTGTAGGACAAAAATGGCCTTTTACTTTCACGAATTTCAGTAAATATGACACCAGACACTATTCTCGTACCTGGCTCCACCTCTTCCAGGACATTCTTGGGGTGGAGACTGAGTTTCCTTGGTTTCTCATTGACATCCACGAGTGTGATGGGCAGGTCAAACACATTCATCATGGGCGGTTGACCATCATCCTCCACCAACACTGTGATGTAGTAGTTTCTGCGTGTCTCGTAGTCCAGGGTGCAATATTTGCCCCCCACGGAGTAGCACCTAGGGTCGGAGCTGGCAGCCAGCTGTAAAACAACAAAATTCTTGCTAAATACAGTAAATGTTATTTTTCCTGGTACTAGTTTGGCTAAATCTTATTGGTTTTAGGTAACCGAGTCTTGGACAGGCATACCAGTGATTGGCATCATAAGCATAGATCAACGCCAGCGGGACACGATGACACACAATCAGCAAAAACAAACATTTGCTTTCTACCGTGAAACATGTAAGTGAATGTGTGAACGTTTGTTTTTGACGGACGTAATAAACAATATTGCAGGATCATAAAAGTAGTATGTAAATAATCCAGATTAAACCTGAAAAAACACTGGCTGATAGAATCAGTACTTATTTAAAAGACCCTGACCACCCCTAGCTCCAGCAGGTCACTTCTGTCGGGGACGCTGACCATCCTACACTGACCTTCACACATGTTTTCCCGCCCTCAGTGGTCAGTTCAAAGATACTGTCAGCCGAACTGATCAAGAAGATGGACATTGTCTGACCGGGGTCATCATCCTTGACGAACACACAGCCGACCTGCGTCCCATCTCTACTGTTCTCTCGAATTGTGTTCGGTACAAGCTGTAATACATAAATATATGTCATTTTAAGTAAGCGTTAACACGTAATGTAATAAAGGTTGACATTGCATTTAATTTACGTGGACAGTTTTAACTAGAAAACTATGTCCTTCGGTTGGTTCGTACTTTTTCTCATCCGTCTTTACCCTTCGAGATACGAAGTGATTGTTGACGCTGCAGTCATCGATATTCCAGTTATACAAAGGTAATCGACGTAAACCAGTGGTTGATAGCATGGCCGTCTTATCCTCAGTCAGTCTGATCTTTCGACAAGCATACTTGGGACTAGTTCTGACCCAGAATCTCGACAAGGTTGGAGAAAGGAACATTCTTTCAAATAAGAATATTCGACTTTTGGCGGCATACATGGTAAATGATGACCTTTAAAGAAATAGGTAAATTAGAGTTGCGTGATAGTGCCTGATAATTTAGGGTTGATCAAGATATTTAATATTATTTGGTTTAATATTATTTGGTTTCCCTCGGATGCCAGAGTAGCAGATACCTACCTTTGCGGACCTCGGCGGATCGTTAGCATTGAGGACTGTCATGTGGAAACTCTTGGTCATGGATTCCCCGTCAAAATCCGTAGTCTTTATTTTAACATCAAATCTGGATTACGAGAGACACCATCAAACGTTTAATAATACACAAAGAAGCCCGAGTACGCTTGTCGTTTAAATATATACAGGATATTATATGAGTGTTCATGTCATACTATGTTTACGCATGTCTAAATGTTCGTTAATTCCCGATCGAGAGCGAGATAAATACCGGAATTTAGGCACGAGTGTCGTAAACATAGTATGTCCACTCTCCTACCCAGAGTTCCATGCGGCCGGCAGCCAGCTAGCATAGTACCTCTGCCACAGGCCAGTGCCATGTGACGATTCGTCACATCTTTCACAGTCCATTCAAGATATTGTATATGCTTTTCATCCGTTTCATGTTTGACAAGTCTACACATTTTCATAAACAAATGTCAAAGAATGGTTAACTTTCATTGAGAAAGTATGCAAATACGTAAAAATCTACTTGTTTTTGCGTAGTTATCCTATGTTTACATTGGTTGTACGGCTCCACGTGCTGTCGTCGAAGCCCAACGGAGAGCTAGAGACACGGTCACTTTGATGCATAAATATATATTGTCATGCAACTCACTGTCGCAGTTGTAGTAGCATATCTATATAGTTATGCAAAACAAAATGTAAAGCGCCCCCAAATACTTGCATTAGTCCGTTCTATACTGATTTCTGAAAAAGCGCGTTTGTTTACAAACAAGAGAAAAGTCCGGTCACGTGATATGCAAATTAGCCTGTGGCAGTGGTGTTATGCTGAGTCACCACTGCGACGGAGTGTGATAGTATGTCATGAACACGAATAGGATGTTCTATTTACAGCTATAACGTAGTTTCTGTGAATGACGTAAACAATGCCGTTCGGATGACGGAAACAATACGGTGTTGTCTCGTGACGTGTTATGACCCTAGGGCACATACGATTTTTATGAACCCCGAGATGCTTGCCCTCGTAGGTAATAATTTAAAATATATTTAATCATATTATACGATCCCACCCACCCCATCCCACGACACTAGGGGGTATCGCAGGTGGTACAGATGGTACAGACGAAATATTTCATTAATATTTGACTTTGCCGATTGTGATTTCGAATCGTTTGTTCGATCCTACGTTTCTAACACCTTACCAATGGATGTTTCAAAGTGGTAATAATCTTTATCAGATATACCGTTTCCTCCCTTTTTCTCACGCCGTGATATATCTGAAATACTGTTCAAAGTGGCGTTAAACCGCACTCTCTCATTACAGTACGTCACAAATGCGAACGAGAACTTCTATATCCCTCCTCACTCTCTTGACGACTCCGACTCGTAG